CACTGAGGCAAGAAACAGCTGCACCACATGCAAGAATGCGAAGTGCAGAAAGTAAGAGCTTGGAAGAAATCAACACTCTTTGCAAGGCTTTTTAAGAGAGATGAAATTTGAAGGGAAAGAAAAAAAACTTCAATTTTTAGTCTGCTAAGGATCATGTGTCAAAGGGATGCTTGTGTGATTTTTGTTAGCAATGAAGAAGTGAAGGAAAAAAGAGATTCAATGTTAGCCTCACAGTGCAGATTTTCTGAATATCTGAAAAAAAGATAATCATTAGAGGTAAAGAAGTATAAAACTGAAGGGGGAGGTTCCCAAGAGTGAAAAACTCACAAAATGACATGAACTGCTGTGGCTCCTCTGTTGTCGGAGTCAAGCTGCATGGGATGAGAATGTCTTTGAAGTGCAGGAGAACAGGTCTGCACAACTCAGAGGTGGATGGATCCTGACAATTGGAGACCACAGCAAATCACTCAGTCAACCAATTACATTCAGGAAAAGTGAGAAATGAAGTCTATACTTCAGAGCAAAGGAAATCACTATAAAGTGCAAGAAGAGAATACTTTTGTGGGAGGAGAAAAATTAGACTGTCAATATACCATTTTCAAGGGTGAAGCAAGTCTATTTTATATGGGAAGAAATCCTAATTGGATATCAATATGCTTTTCAGGATACATGCCTCAGACTATGCAGTAGCCACTAATCCTTAAGGAACCTGCTGCCACTACAATCCTGACATGTAAAGTATTCACAGCCACACCGCCCTTTAAAAAGCCATGCTCACCCTGTGAATCCAGACCCACCTTACGGCAATTGCTGTCGGGAGGTATTTCTTATGCAATGACATTTTGATGCAGTAATCAATCAAAATTTCATAATTGTTGACAGCCCAACACAGGTATTTATAATGCTTGCTTTAAAAATCAGTGGCAAACTGTCAGTAAGAATATCCTGAGTGTCTTTCTCTTAATCCTAGGTTGCTTTTGTGATGCCCATGTAGCTGGTCACAGAGCATTGTGTGTGTACGTGCTTAAAAGCTGCAGGTTAGCAGATAAATGTAGATGTTATCAGAAAAAACATTCAACTTTGCCATTTAAGAAAATGTCTGAGTCGTACACATATATGGATTGAGAAATGTCACTTGAAACTCATTATGAATTTTCAAAATTGAGTAACTTTTGTGCTCTGTGACCTGATAAGATGGCAACTTAAAAAAAGGTATTTTTGACACTTGTTAGAATCATTTTAATAGTAAAAAATCAAGATTTCCTGCCTTTTTCAGGGAAAGCATTCTGACTGTCAGAATATAAAAACTGGAAGGAAAAAAAAA